CGCTGATAATAATAGTGCTCGTAGTGATAAGAACAGTGATAACTATGATGAAAACAATAATAATGATGTTTGCAGCAGCAAGAAGACAAGAACATCGATAAAAATGATGAATGGAGATTGAGTTCTTTCTGCAAAACTCACTCTCATTTTTGACGAATATTATTTGGGAGTGATCGACATCAATTTGTGAGAAATTGAAAATTTGACGATTGGGCTGGGTGCTTCGTACCAAATAACCGTTGATTGGTTGCTGGTTCACCAGATACTGAATTTGCTCAGATGGTGAATCATCATCCTTAAATTGATTTCAGGTTGCTTCACAATCAATAAGTAGAGCCATTTCAATGATGATCTAATCAATGATCTGCTCTTCATCTAGTTTGTGGCAAACGTTTCATAAATTTTATCAGGAATTGATCAAGAATGAATCGAAATTACTTGTGAGTATAAATATTGTTTTGTTATTGCAGCCTTGTTTGAATGCCAGATTTTCAGCACTTCATTTCGAACCAATTCCGGCCCTGAAAACAAAATATGCAAACATTACTCACATTACTTGTCAGTATCCGTTGTCTTATCTGTTTCCGCTGATAACAGCAAGTGATATTGTAATATATTGACATAATAATCGCTCATATTATCAAAATACTGAAAGCATTTCAAACTAAGCATTTTATGATGGCTATTTTAAAGACCAATTTTCAAGCAGATCAGTTTTAAAATAAGTTTATTTTTTTAAAGCATATGTATAACAAGTGTATACCATGAATATTTCTCTGTTTAACGATCACATTCACTTTCTTCGTATCGGAACATCGCGTGATCGTTGACGTGTAGATTGAACTCGAGCTGTACATAGAACAAACTTGGATTTTGAACGAGTCTTGTGAGGTACGTGTTACGGGATTATTTACATAGAAGATGCGATGGTCGTCGAGATGACTGGACTTGAATGAGTTCAGTGAGGTGATATTTGACAGATTCCATTCATCCAAGACAATCCATCCGGCTTGTGGATGGTTGATCAAACGATATTCGTATTCGATATCTTTGGTTGAGTGCACACGAATCTGACTAGTTGATAGCACTGTGCTGCCACCCGAATATACACTCACATTCGACACTTCCAAAGCTATCTGAATTCAAGTTTCTGATGAACTGATGGTAGGATTCAATCATCATAACGGATAATGANGATAATGAACAATATCATTATGAAGTTTTAGTGATTAATACAGATGAATATGAGAATGTTGATAACAATTATTATTCATAGCAATAGCGAGGCTGATGTTTAACACAAAACAATGTTAGGAATGATTCAAAATGAGACAGAAATAGAACCTGATCATCGATGATATTAATGAACAGAGTGAACGGTCCGACGGTTCTTGAACCGATTGAAATGTTGAATTTGAACGAGTCTCGAGAGGGTTTATTGCCGTTGTGTAGATACTGCAGTTGACCAGCATTCACGTGTGCTTGTGTGAATCGCGATACGTAGAAGTTACTCGGTACTATTGCGTTATCGTTTCCAATCACTAAACAATTTCAGTATCATTTGCAAATCGTTCTAACAGTAACAACAATACTGTCAAAGTGAATTCACCTTTGAAAGATTCCAGAACAAGCGTGCCAACAGACGGCTGTTTGATAACGTCGTAAATAATCTCAGATGGAGATTTCTCTTCGGATTTCGTGAATAGAATTTGTGAGTCGATTGGTGACAACGATGCGATCGGCACTTCCAGCACTGACAAGGTTCGCATTTCGATGGGAATTCGAGAGTCGGACTTTTGACGATGCTTCGCAATTTCACTCACTGCCGTCAAGTTGCCGGCTCTGACCATCGCACGTTCGGCACGATCCGATTGATCGTTGAGACGATAGAAAACTTTACCGTCGTCGATGTCCTGCAAATGGTGAATCCCGTCTCAACACATCTCACGGGCATAATTTTGAGCCATGACCTACAGATCACAATCGAATGAAGCTGTAAACTGTATGCATGGATCAATCCAAAAATGACTAGTGTTCAGTTGATTCGATTCATTCAACAACCTGTTGTGTGAAAGACATAATTGATGTCTGTGTCGAATTATCGACCAGAATCCAATTCTGCGTGCCAATAATCGTGAATAAGATCTCGGAACTGTTAACGTCCAAATTTGTCAGTGCTGAGAGATTTTGTTGCGTCAACGGTATCAACTGTAGCGAATTTGAATGTGGCAATAACAACTGATGATTATCGATTCGAATGAACGGCTCAGAGGCGATCACTGTCAACGTTGATGCTACTTCATGGATGCCGTCTGATACGGTGTATCTAAATTCAGCAGTGCCTATTCTGGTATAACGATATAAATACTCCTTGATACATATCTTATATATTGTGTTTGTCATATACAGCGAATGGTGGAACATATCGAAGTGATATTCAGTCGAAAAAGTTGATACGAGTGCAATTTGGCAGTTGAACCTGATGAAACGAATGCAAATGAATGCTATACACTAACTGCATCTCGAATCGTCTTGAATGTCCCAGATGTCGCAAGAGAACTTCACCGTTTTGAAGATTTTTCTGCGTAAAATTTCTCAAGTGAATATTCGGCGATATCCGTAACAGGATCGCAGCATTCCGAAAGCCATCATAGAAGCTGAATTGCAATGGTTTCGAGTCAATATCTGCATCATGCCAGGGAAGCAACGACGGGTGCAGAACGCGATCACCACGATCAATTATCTGCAAAATCGCTACTTTTGATCGCTAATTTTCGAACTCAATAGGTCAAGAACAAGTAAAGTTTCTCATGAATTTGCTCAAAGTTAGCATGAATTTACAACTAGCGAGGTGTTTTGCATGAATATAGATTGTAGAGAAAGAACGAATTGCATCTATCAAATCGATTGTGCATGAGTGGATTTTTTCAAGTAATCCGAAAGAATTTGAGGGTACAAACGATGATGAATGCATTCCAAGGAAGCATCACCTGTAGTTCGTTATTTCCCTTCAGCTCGGGTGCATTATCGTTTTTCAAGATCACTTGAACAGTCATCCAGAATGGAATTCGACTTGATCGTCGAAAAACACTTTCGGCCACCAAATAAATTCGATCAATACGATTCTCACCCCCGAAATGTTCGTACCAAACGCTCAAAAATGAAATTTTTTCAAATGATTTTCCAGAAAAATAATCGAATTTCTCAATTGTTTAATCACTGATTACCATATTGTGAATGATTCGAGGTGAAAACAATCGAAGTTCAGTATTAACAACCTTGTCATTCATAAACTGAACATCTTATTGGTGTGTTGCGGGTAAATTGGAAGATTGAAGTCAGATTATAGCTTGAATGGAATACTTATTGGGAGAAACCATTCTCGTTTCTTTTCTCTAGTAGTATGACTTATATGATTTTGAAATTCAGATGACTTTGAAATTGATTGAGATGACTTCGAAAAATGAACAGAAGTATCGTTATTCGGTTGGAATTGCTTAATAGAATATTATACCTTCCGGACTGAATGTCTTGAGTAGTGAAATTCATCGCGATCGACAGTGTAAACTTAGCACCAGATGGTCTCGTGACAATAATATCACCGAAATTAGGTACCACACCGAGTGTAAATACAAAACTATTGTCGTCCGGTGTTTCCAATGATAACGTTTCGTTGGTTATCTTAAAATCAATCCTCCAACGTCACGGATTCGAGGGAAATATTGTGGTTCTTAGAGCGTGTAATCGCCCATTTAACTTTTTGCACTCTAATTATATGGTATTTCGAATATGTGTTAATTTTGCAACGAATAGATCAAGACAGCAATGAATAAAAATTGAATAAATCGCCTGTCAAAAAGAACATATAAATTGTGCTTTGATGGCCGTATAATACCATTCAATCAACAGTAAAAAAGTGGGAATGAACAATGCTTTTTTTGGAAATTTTCTTATATGTCAGAGAAACATTTGGAAAATTTGATGGGAAATAATGAGTTAGTTGTAAAATGCGGTGCGAAAAATAATTCCGGGAAGAGAAGTCTACCTTTTGCAGTCCACCTTCATCAACGATAATCGTACGATTGATAAGTTGAATAGCGCCGAGACCGGGTATGAATGTGATATCGAAACGAATCGTTTCGGATGCAACCGATGGGGTTATCACTCGAAATGTGAAAAAGTCATTCACCACTGAGTATTGGATAAAATGAAGTTTGTAGAAGACTGTCGCGTTGTCAATATGCTGAAACGTTCAATTTACATTTAAGTCTTTTCTTTTTAGAACTATTAAGCCGCAAGGAGAAGTGTGAATTTGATACAGAATCTCATAAAAGTTGTTAGGAATAATCTTGAAGCGGTGACGATAACAATACAAATAGTAGTGATCAATCAAAATAATTCAAGCAATCGCAAGAATTCGAACGGATTTGAGTACAGTTTGTTGGAGTGATCTTTAATGAGCAAATGGTATTATCAATTGACTGTTTCACTAATGAAATGACAGCGCATTCAATGATAAATGCATCGTGATAGCCATTTAATCCGAATGTAATCGATCAACTACAGTAATATAAAGACGAGTACTTGAAAATTAGTTGTAATAAATATTAATGAACGTGTAAAATAATCAATCTTTCAATCGTACTTTTAAAGTATTTCAATCAACGCGCACTTAAC